TCCGGTTCAAGAGTGATGGTATCTGATTTCTTAAACTTATGACCACCGCGAAATCTCATCCCTACTACCATAAAGGAATGTGTAACAATACAATCTGTATATAATGGCGACGATGGTTCCTTACAACTACAACAAATATTAGGCATGATTAAAAACTATTATATTTTCTATACATAAAAAATACCCAAGTTCAAATAGATAGTCTTATTATCCAGCCCACGCATCCCGTAACCGCTCATTTTTCCTTTCCAACCCCCATGTGCGTCTCAATACCACGAACCATATAACTGCGATAATTAATAGAATAAGACAAATATATGCTGATAAAGGTGACATCAAAGTACTTGCCACAGCAGAAAGAGGCAAAGCCTCGGGACCAGGTCCCATCTGGGTATTCGATTCAATCAAAGAGGACATATTATTTTCCGGCTGTGCAAGGTAAGGAGTCATATTCGGTATTTCCTGAAGTGTATTGTTGTTAGTTTTGCTAATATCGATTTCGTCACTTACCTCGGGAATAATCTCTGTATCTACTCTTGGAGATGGGGCATAGCCTCGAATTACTGATTCCTCAGGTATAGAAGTTCTTTCATTATCAGTGTTATCTGGTATAATAGCAGAGCTAGTGTCAGTGGCAAAGCCACGAGTCTTCGACTCAAGACACATGGTATCGATTTTTCCAGCTTGATTCATATTTTTTTTATGTATAAAATATTGACTGAGATTTCTATCCGCAGAAATATTACTAGAATTCGATATGGAACTTTGTTCCTCGCTCTGCGTATTTTTTTCGTCGTTTCCACCAACTATGGGTTTCGATATAGCCTCTGATTTCAGATGCTCGAGTTCATTGACCTTCGATTCCAATGAGCTCTTTATATGATCTAATTCAGCTATTTTAGATTTGAGAGATAAATTTTCGGATTCTTTTTTCAATGAGTCATTTTGAATAGAAATTACATCCTTCTGGGCCGAAGACAACTTACCTTCCAATATTTTTTTCATAGACCGAAGTGCTGTAATTTCCTTTGATTCATTCTGAGTTGAAGATAATTTCGTTTCCAATATTTTTATCCTAGACTGAAGATCTTTTATCTTAATTTTAGATTCATTAAGAGAAATGTCTTTGCGGGTAATCTTAGATATTAGACTATCCAACTCTGAGCTCAATCGCCTAACCTCCTCTATAAGTTGGTAGGTATGCTTGGAGAGTTCCTCTTTATCTTTATTGGATTGTTTTAAATCACGTTGTATACGCTTATTGTCTTTATCCAAGACAGAACATTTATTGACAAGTTGATTGCCACACTCTATAGCAATCTTTCGATCTCGATTTGCACAAGCAAGCTGGTTTTCAAGTTCTATTCGATTAGGTGGATATCGACTAGATGGTATACCCCCTAGTTTTTTGCCTTCACTTATATTTGACAATGTATAAATTCGAGGCATATGCAGTTTAACACTAGCTCCGTTATTATATCAATGAAATAAATATAAAAAAAAGATATAATGTATTAAATAGAATATACATATCTATTAATGTGTTAATTTTAATGTATTAGATAGAATATATGTATTAAATAAATAATATAATCCTATATATTTGATGTATTCTATTTTTCTGATATATTTTATATTTCCGATATATTTTATATTTTTTATTTTTCCGATATATTTTGTTAGATAAAAAACAAAGTAATTACAATTATTACTATGGTTAGAGTACGTATAAAATCTGATGCACCTTTGTTTTCAGCTGAAGATTATTCATATATAATGCAATGTCGTGATATAAAGCCAAGATACAAAATTTTAAAAGAATTATTGGATAAATATAAAACATCATCAAAACGTATTTATCAAATTTGGAGAGGAGAAGAGGCTAATAGAGTTCTCTGGGATCAACCTATACCTTATTCATATGTATCAGAGACTACCTCTGGCAATAATTCATCTAGTACAAATGATGCAATTCACTCTGAAGTTTTATCTGATGAATCAGTAGAAGTGGTACAGCCAAAGATTCGAAATTCTACTTCTTCACATGCAGTAAAAAAAAGTGCCTCTTCTATAGACAATACATCTAAGAGAAAATCCGATCTTGAAAAATTAATAAAAGATACTAAAAGATTAGCTCCTATGTGCCCATCTTTGCCTCGGTAAGTTTGGAACATCTTTCTACAAGAATGTTACCCACTTTTAAAGCCATATCAAGCCACTCTTCAGTCATAATAACTCGTTTTTCAAGTTCATTGCATTTTTTTTTAAAGTAGAATTGTCAGAATCTAAGCTAAAGCCCGCAGGAGCACACCACTTTTCGACTGATATACTGTCATCCTTATCACTATCCATCTCTTGAGAAAGTTGATCGGATATCAATGGCTTATCATTCTGAGATGCAGTAGCACAATTTACTTCAAGCTCATTTTCAACCTTGTGCATCGTAATTGGAATGTAAAAATCTTTCCCGTTGCAATTGATCCTCAATTGATCCTTATCTCCTAGTATTTGATATTTGTGACGGTAAAGGAAGGGTTTACTCAATATAACCATAGACTTGTCATATTCAACGACTGCAAAATCTAAATGAAATACACAACCAGGAGCTAGGGTTAATGGTACGTTATAAACCATTCCAATAGATTTGG